CCCCGCCCTGGGGACCCGGCGCGGCGGGCGGGGACGGGGCTGCGTCCCGAGCCTGGGTGCGTTCTGCCCTGCGGATCCGTAATGAAGGATGGTGTACCTGGAGGGCAAAAGAGTGACCCGAGGAGGGACTTGGATGGTGTCCTTTCCTCCCCAATTACTTAGGGAACGAGGTGTACGTCCCGCCTGTTAATGACACCACCACCGCCCCGCGTCCTGCCCTTGCTGTAGGGACGCACGTCAAGGATGCGGCATGGGCCCGTGTCTCGCCCTAGCATTGGCACTTGCCTGCCCTTCCTAAGGGGCACACTGGGTGGTCTGCAGGTAGCCCAGTGCACTGATAGGCCCTTGAGCGTTGCCGCCCTCCTTCTTCAACGGGGGAGAGCCCTTTGGTGCACCAAGGCCCTGGGCTGCCCTTTGTTAAAGCTCTTGGCTGGCTACATTTGTCTGGGTCCTTGGTCAAATCACCTTTTTCCAGTAGGAGCGTTCCTGTGTGTCCTGCAGGAAGAGGCTAGATGCCCGGCTATTATTATTTGTTCAGTGTTTCCAGATTGAACTACTGTACCAGCAAATGATACCTTCTTAGAGGATACCCGTGCTTTAAATGATTTCTGAGATAGTGCTATAAAATGTGGAGTCTGAAACACTTGAGTTTATAAACCCAGGCCTTTTATGTATTAACTGTGAGACCCATGGCTAAGCCACTACCCTCTGTGAGTTCTCTCTTCTTAGTCCTCAAATGACAGAGGTAATACAGCTTGCAAAGCTGTGGGACTGAATCTGCTAGGTAGGTGAGATGCCAAGCACAGAATCTAGCAGGGGAGAGGGTCTCTTATATCCCGTTATGGAATGACCAAGTTCAAACTCATGCTGCTTCCTGGAAGACTTTCAAGCTAAAGAACTTCTCCAACTAATTTGATGTGTAATGTGAAAGGTAGTGACATCATTTCGTAACTTTTTTAGAAGTTTAAGGGGAATTTGAAATACAAAGTGGAGCAACACAGAGGAAGAGGTTTAAGCAAGCAAAAGCAATCCATGCATGGGAAGGATGCAGACACTGTGGTTTTGCCCGCCGCAACCCTCTTGACTTTTCATCTCTTTGCACCAGTTCAACCGATTGTTAGCAAAGTTATTACCGCCCTGCCGTTCATCTAGAAGGAGCTCCATACATTTGCTGGCCTGCCAGGGGACACTCTTCTCAGGCAAGCTTGGCTTTTTTAAAAAAGGAAACTTCACTATAAAACGAAGAGGGAAGTATTGATATCGTAGAAATTCAGGACTAGTCTTATTTGCAGAAATTTTAAGCCTGGGTCAGTTGTGCCCGGTAGTGTAGACAGATGCTTGCGGTTGCTGTCGTTCCTAACTTTGTCTCTTTTAGTTTGCCTACGGGCCTGGGGGACACAGCTCCCAATCCTGGAAGTGAAATCCTCGGTAGCAAGTGGGGTTGCCTGGCGGTGACCATGGGGGTGGGTGCGTCCGGGTATTCACTGATGCCCCCTAGATGAAGTCGACACAAGGCAAGGTGCGGGAGGGAAGAAGATGAAGGCAAAGCGCAATCGCTTGGAGACCCGCATCAGCCATCAGAGAGCAGACATCGTCATCTCCCCAGCCAGCAGCTCGGGCTGCGCTCTAAGGGTGACTGTCCAGGCCCTAAACTTCCACAAAGGTGCCAGGAATCCCAAGGACGCCCCGGAGTCCGAAAGGGGAGAGGGATGCAGAGTACACACAGTACTTGTTTCTAATACAGTTAGAAGCAACAGAGCTGAGGATGTCACTCTCTTCCCCTCATTTTGGCCATTCCTCCTTCCATTGTCCTAAGAGAGGTAGATAAAAAAATAATGAAACCCAGGAGCTGCGTGATGCTCTAGGTGAGAGCCCATGCGTTGGTTCTCCTTGCCTGACCTTCAGTCACCTTCACCCGGCTCAAACCTCATTAAGGGTTCATAAATATGTACAACATATCAGGCATGTAATTAAGATCAGAGTGAATTCTGGGACAAGAGTGCGTGTTGAGAGCCCCTGTGAGAGCCCAGCTCCCTGTCAGTCATTCCTGTCAATCACACCTGGAGATGCAGGGGAGGCACCTGCGCTGAGGTGCATGTCCTTTCAATTCTAAAAGCCTGGTCTAGGGCAGGGGGCTGCTGTTGCTGCTTGTGTGTGCCATGGCCTGTGTGCAGGGCTTTTGCTTTTCCATCAGCCTGCACCGTGTTTCTGTCTCTGCCTTCTTTTGTCGGCACAGACTTTCCCTAAGCACAAGGTCTTGCGATCTTCACTAAATGTAGCCGCTTGCCTCTTGGTACCGGGTGTGTCCTTGGCAATGCTGTGCTCATTGTACACACGAGACTGGGATTTACCTGCCCGTTCCATGGTAATGTGATGACTGATTAGTTCTCCCCTGCGATAAAGCAGGACTTCATCGATTGTACCAAAAAACAAGTAGATGCTGCACAGTGTGTGGGTTTTACGTTAAATGAGTTTAATTTACATTGTGAGGATTAAATTGAAAGAGTTAAGACCTCTAAAGAGCGTGAAGAGCCTGGTCCCTGGCAAGCAATATTGGAATATTTGTCAAATTTACTCTTTAAAATCTCTTTTCAATCATTTTCTACCCACAAAGACAAGTGCCGTTTACCTCTTTCTGTTTAAACAGCCGGTTTCCTCCAGAGACAGCCAGCCCCTGTCTCAGTAAGCTGAGTGTTGATGCCTCTGGACCTCAGCTCTTCCTTTTTTTTTTTTTTGACGGGGCAGGATATCGAACCCAGGACCTTGCACATGCTAGACAAGTGTTCTACAGCTATACCTCCAGTCCTCAGTCCATTTTTAAATAGGGATGAAGTACTGAGATACCAAGAAATGCTAAATGAGTCTTTTTTTTTTTTTTTTTTTGAGACAGCGTGTAACTGTGTAGTTCAGACTGGCCTTGAGTTCACTGTGCAGCCCAGGCTGGCCTGAAACTTGTGGTACTCCTCCTGCCTCAGCCTCCTAACTGCTAGGATTACAGGCTGTGATATAGGTGGCCCTGCATCACCATGCCCAGCTAAATGAGTCTCTCAAGGTCAGCATTATCAAATGATACTTCCCTGTGGCCAGGGAAACCTGATAACAGAAGGTTAAAATTACTTTGTGTGACATCGAAAACACCTTAAAGCCGTGACAGAAAGATGTAAGTTACAATAATACTACAGAAGTAAATCTTATTTAATGGCTTTGTTTTAAATTTATTACCACCATACATTGCTTTTATTATTTTCTGTCCACTAGAGACTCCGCACTTATTTGAATGTCCAAATGAATAAATTGAATCATAATTAAATGATTCTCTATTTGTATGAAAAAGAACTGAAGTTGCAACTAAAACAAAAGAGAAAAATTTTTTTTAAATGAGAGAGGTGACATTCTACTTGGTTTGTGCTGTCTGCGCAAGGATGCGCAATATCCATGAAGTGTTTTAGATTTCCTCAGCATTGTTAAAAAATAAATATACAAATGGAGAGGAAAAAGGAGTGGAAGAAAATAGCATATAGAATCTCACCAATATGGTTGTTAAAGTTTCAAACCTCTATATTAAAATCATGGACTAAATATAGTAATTACTTCAAATCATGGTCCTGGCACCTGAGATTCAGCTAAAGAAAATTATTAGGTTGATGAATTTTGCTTAGACAATTGAATTTTTATATATTTCAGAATGTTGTGCTACAGAAACTTCTCTTAAATAAAAACTTACATTATAAATATGGTCAGAATTCTGCTGAGAAAAAAAAGATATTCATCCCTTTAATATTTAAATTATATGAAAGAGCCGGGCGTGGTGGCACATGCCTGTAATCCCAGCACTCAGGAGGCTGAGGCGGGAGGATCATTGCAAGTTCGAGACCAGCCTGGGCTACAAAGTGAGCTCCAGGCCAGCCTGAACTGCATAGCGAGACAGTCTCAAAAAGACCAAAAAAAAAAAATTATATGAAAGTAATTTTAAAATAAGCCGCATAGGGGCTCAGTGGCACAGCACCTGCCTGGCAAGCGCAAGGTCATGAGTTTGATTCCCGGTACAGAAAAAAGCCCAAAAAAATAGAAATAAAAATAAAAAATAAAAAATAAAATAAGCCTCATATTTAAAACCAGACATTATAACTTTACAACCAGAATTTAAGAATCCTAATATCTACAAATACTACAGAAATACTACAATATTTCAATATCTATGAAATACTATAGAACATTAAGAACAGACTCACAGTGCCTTTTTTTTTTTTTTTTGCGGTACTGAGGATCAAGCCCAGGCAACACTCT